CAAAGTATGATTTAAGTAATGTACTGTAATAATCAATGTGTTTTTAATGTAAGATGGTGATTTAGGAAGATGTGTTATTGTACAGTATGCCTGAAAATGAAGGAAGGGTGTGTGTGCTATTTTGAACGGTAGAAAAGACAAACAGTACTTCTGCAAAACAGAAATAGCAGAAGTGGGGTTTTTCTGGAATGTCCCAGAGGCCCTGTGGTGAAAAACAAAGTGGTTTTGACTCGCCACAAAAAGTCCCTTACAGTTCTATTACCAGAATCAGCAAGATTATTTCATTCTGGGAAGTACAAAAGAGCCCGTGGTGGAAATTCCCAATCTTACCACAGAATGGTGAAGAAGGGGATGAGCAGGACCATAAAGAGTATAAAAGAAGAGCAGTTTCAGCAGTACACTCGTCTTCTGGCCCCGACTGGAGAAGAGTCAGCAAGAAGGCGAGGACAGCCCAAGAAGAGGCGCAAGCAGATCCAAGAAGACATCTCATCTGGGTCACGCTGACACACTTCTCTCCAGCGATCTACAGACCGAAGACCAGATTAAACCAGCCCAGTTCTGAGAAGTCTTTTTAGGCAACAATCTGATGCTTTTCATGGAGGTAATGCCAACACTGCTTCAACCTGTCCTGCCATCCCAAATTAACAGAAAATGCCACACAACCTAGTCATAAAGTTAGGTCAGCGCCTTAGAGCTCCAGATTTCTATTTGACAGGATGGGTTTTAACTTGGACAGTCTCCTCAGCTGAAAAAAGCAGGATTTAACATTGGAGTTTACATGACTGTTTAATTTCAAGTATGGATCCATTTTTACGCCTAGGTTGGTGACAAGTTGTTTTTCAAATGGGGCCAGAGTGGAAAGGTCAATGCTAGTGTTACTGTTTGTGTTATTAGCTGGAAACAGAATGACTTCTGTTTTCTTCTCATTAAAGTTTAGCAAGTTTAAAGCCATCCAATCCCTGATGTCAGCCAGGCAGTCAAGAAGAGGTTGGATGCAGTGTGGGCCAGCCTGTTTCAGAGGAAAGTAAATTTGACAGTCGTTCACATAAAGATGAAATGGTATGCCATGTTTATGAAAAATTGCACCTAATGGCAGTAAGTATAAGGAAAAAAGAAGGGGTCCCAGGATACAGCCCTGTGGTACTCCCCATTGAAGTGGTGCTGATGAGGACTTAAGTCCTTGATGTTAACACAGAAGTGTCTGTCTGTCAGGTAGGACTTAAAACAATTGAGGGCTGAACCAGTGATACCCACCTCCTTCTCCAGCCTAGAAATGAGGATGTTATGATCAATGGTGTCAAAGGCTGATGTGAGGTCTAGCAGCACAAGGAGGACAGATTCATCAGAGTCTAGAGCTAAAAAGATGTCATTAAACACCTTCAACAGAGCAGACTCAGTGCTGTGATGGGATCTGAAGCCTGACTGAAATGTCTCCAAAATTTTGTGATCCTCCAAGAAAGGTTTTAACTGAGTGTCCACTACTTCTTTCAAGAGCTTTGACAGAAATGGCAGTTTGGCATTAATGGCAATTTCGTAGGGGAAACACTGCTCCTGAACACTCAAAAGCTGCGAACTCCTGAACACTCAGAAACTGCAAACTCCTGAACACTCAGAAGCTGTAAACTCCTGAACACTCAGAAGCTGTAAACTCCTTAACACTCAGAAGCTGTAAACTCCTTAACACTCAGAAGCTGTAAACTCCTTAACACTCAGAAGCAGCAAACTCCTTAACACTCAGGAGGTGGGAGTTTATCCAACCTGTTGTCATGTGCAGAATCAGATATTCTTTCAGAAAAAAATTGAAAAAGCATTGTCCTTTGGATGACAAAGTTCTGTAAACAGGTGGGGGTTCCTTCCATAACAAAAGTAATGAGCGTCGATCATTCTCAGATAGCAAGAATGCACAAATTCACTTCAATTTTAATTCAATTCATTTTATTTAAATAGCTCAAAGTCACAACATACGTTGTCTCAGGGCACTGTACTTAAAAAGAACAATCTAAAGAAGAAACCAGCAGATTGTGTTGAATCACTTCATCACAGTCTCCCATCCTGAGCAAACGGTGGAGAGGAAAAACTCCCTGCTAATCAGGAAGAAACCTCCAGCAGAACCAGGCTCAGGACAGGAGACCATCTGCCTCGACCHGCTGSTTGGAGGACAGGAAAGAGACACAGKCAAACACAGAAGAACTGGTGGAATTGTGGTGGAACTGTTGCTCTTTGTAGGTTTATGTTTCTTTATGATATTTAATGTGAAATTCAATTCTAAAACTTTAATTAAAAAAAGGATAACTTTATTAATGTGAGATTCTATGATTTACACGTAAATGTTTTTTTCTTGGTAAATACCTTACAAAAATAATTTAACGTTCTATTGAACCACAGCTATTTGTTTTATTAGTGAAAGTAAAATAACAGCCATTCTTTATTTTTAAATTACTGTATCTATTTATTTGTTAAATTATTTTTCAGTCACTTTTTAGGTTAACAAAAAAATTGTGATATTAATCGACATCGGAAG